AGAGAGAAATGAGACAAGGAAATCTTCCGTTTTCTTGACCACTTCCTCTAGTTATCAGATGATATGGAACATGACTGAAAGGAGGAAAAAGCTGTTGTGGACATTTTTCTGATCACAGAGAACCACTTTAACTTTGCAAAAGGTATCCCTGGTATGGCCCAGAATGTGCAAAATATGTTGAGAGTTATGAAGGTTAATTGAAGATATGCAGGAAGAAAGCAAAAATTAGGGAAAAAAGTGCACTGAAGAAATGAAACGCTTTGTTTTGGAAATACTTTGGTATGAGGAGTGCTATCAACATATCTGGGCTAGAACTGGAAAAGTACAAGTAATCTCTATTCTTCTGAAACAAGCATAAAGGTCAGTCCAAATCTGAGCAATAATGAGACTGTGCCTTTTTAGCAGAAACAAGAAGTCATCTGCATTATTCAATTTTGAAATATGGAGAAGTGCAAAGACAATGATGAAAAGACTTTAAGTCTTTATAAATTGGTGTCTATCAGATCTTAGACAATTAATCATCCAGATGGATGATGTGTGACAGACTTCACAGAAGAACACTTGCCAAAAATAAGGGAAAAGAGAGGGATCAGTTATGTTCTGAGGGAACCAGACATGGATGTTTAAATAGTAAGCCCTCTGGTTTGATGGGAGGCAGAGAAAAAAGATGTATATATAAAATTTATGTACATAAAAATCCTCTAGAAGACGAATGTAGCATGAGGGAGTTGCTTCTTAATTTGTGTCATGTCAAATACAAAATCAAAACAGGACCTGAGCTCAGAATTGAGACCTTGAACCAACAGAATTAAACGACTAGCAGGAGAATAAATATTGCCCTGATTTTCTACCCAGTATCAATCTGAGACATAAATGTAATTGATTATTTGTTCTATAAGTAAATCACAGGGGTGTGTTAAGAAATACATAGAAGAATGTTTCTCTGAACTAGCTTCTCTATTTATAGTTTAGGGAAGACAGCTTTGAACAAGATGTGTTTGTCACTAACTGAAAGTTGTGAAGTCAAAAGCAGCAGGATGAAGTTATGTTACTAGTTGAAAAACCTTTAGTCGGTTCTTTCTTGATCTGTGGTGAATAAAAATAGCTTCATCCTTATGATTTCAGCCAGAGCTTTTGTTCTTTTAGGCTTCTATTACACATACTTTTAAGTACATGCGGTGGAGTTACTTTTGTGAATAAAGCTGTTAGGCCTAAATGTTTCTGGTTTTTGGGTTTTTTTTTTTTTAATGTGGTTTAACGAGTTACTCAGTGGCCATGAAAAGTGGAGCTTCATGTCAGACTTTTTATGAATACTTAGGACTCTTGACAAATGATGGAGGAAAAGTGAGAGAGAGAAGTGGTAAGAGACTCTTTTTAGGAATTACTTTTTACATAATAGGAATTTAACCAAGTAGACTGTGCATTGCAAGTGAAGTGAATCCCTCCTACAAAAGACTTCTACATTTAGATGTAGACATCAGTTTGAAGGGGCAGAGGAGCATCAGCCGCGGGTGATAGCATAGGGAAATACAAGTGGATTTTGTTTGCCACTTCCTGAAACATTCACAGGAGAAACCATTGGATGTCAGCAGGGACTAAACAAGCTAAACAGTATGCTTTTTTCCTAACTTTATGCACTGTGATGTTCATTCAGTCTTGCCTGTAAAAATGATGGATTATTTCTGCATAAACTATAAGAATTTGTCTGCTTCTGGAAAAGTTGAATGGTAATCCTTGGGGAAAATAAATGATTAGGAAAAAAAAATCAGTGAGTTACTTACACTACATATGTCCTTTTTTGCAGCCTTTGAGTGAATCTGATCTTGCCGATGAATTTTCCAAAGACTTTGCCTGCCCTGCACAGCCTGCAGTACAAGCCAAACCATCGAAGCCCGGCAGCGTGCCTGAGGTGCATCTCTCTTCTTTGTAACAATGCAGAGGAGCATTAATGCTGCTGCTGTTTCAGGAAAAATATTTTCCTTTTTTATTCTTTTTTTTTTTGTGTTTTTGTTTTGTTTGCCTTCAGTGGAATGTGCAATATTTCAGTTATTGCTTGTGTTGAAAACTCTAGTTTAATGTTAAATTGAAGGACTTCTAGCTAGAAATTGAGCCCTTCTTTTTCTTGTTTGTGCTTTGTTATTCAAAGAGTACATTATGTTTATTAGCACAGTCAGTAAAATACAGTGCACTTGTTCTGTTTCAGAAGCCTTCAGCTCCTGTGCCTGCAAAAACTACTAAGGATGAAGTGGTTCCTTGTGCTGCAGCTTGCACTGTACAGGCTTCAGCTCCATCAAAGGTTTCTTCAGTGAGTACTTGGCTATCTCAGCTGGTGCTAAAGGAAAACTCACTGCCTTTTTTATGCAACATTATAGCGTATTTTCAAGGGGCTTATTTAAGTAGTGGGTAGTTTTCCTCTTCAGAGTTAATTATCTAATAGATCTCTGTAACACACTGGCACTTCTTGCAGTAAGGTGGCAAAGATTGTACTGACTACTAACTTGATGCTCAACATTTCGAATACTTTCCATGTAGCTAAGCCGATAGGAGTGGTTTGTTGGTTTGTGTGTTTTTGCTCTCCGTTGCACGAGCTACCTATTGAACCACATGTGAACTACATTTATTGTATGTCCCAGAGTTACTGGGAGTTTGCTCCTGAGAGGTTTTTGAGTGAAGCCAATGTGTCGGAGGAAACTTTGTATCTGAGGTCATGCCTTTCTTACTGGCTTCAGACATAGTAAGGAAACATTTATTGCAGAACCTGATTGTTAAAGAACTAAGTGAAGTTAGTGTAATTAAAGCCAATCAGTCTGTGACTGGGAGGAGTAAATAAAGATAATCAGAACACTGTTAAATGGCTCACCTGATAGAATGCGATTAAGTCCAAAATACATTTTTTTTAAGTTTAAGCAGACATCCTTCTTTTAAGATGTGGGCCATAGTTACAAGATTGAAACTTGAGAGCCAGCTGACCAGACTAGATCTCCAGTTGGGTGACCTCTTCAGATTCCTATGACTTAATTCTGAAGCCTGCCAATTCCCAGCAAAGCCTGAGTGCCTTCCAAGTAACATGGTACAAGTGAAATACAAACTGAACAGGGAATTCCTTTATTCTTCTTAACTGAGAAAGACTGTCGATTGTCATATTTTTTTCTAGCCTTTAATGATGTAAAAGAGATGCTGTTTGCCGACTCAATAAAGACTGCAATAAAAGACAAATTCTACAAAACGGAGCGAATGTCTCTCGAATTTCCCTTGTACCTTGAACTGAGCAGATACCAAACATGCAAAAACAGCTGTGGAGAGAGGCATTACAGTTTTTTTTATTTCTCAATATTTGCTTTTATTTAATGTGTGCCTAAAGGTGATAGTGTGTCTGTATGAGCATGTTGCTTCAGCTGCAACTGAATTCCAAACTGAGGGTTCTGTTTGACTATCTCCATATTCTTACAGGTTGGTCACGAGGCAGATGAAGCGCTGGAAGCCTTGTCTAGTAGTTTGGGAAAGAGGGAGCCTGACCCAGACGAGAAGGAGCCTGCTGTGGATAAAGTCAAGGTAGAAAAATACACGGAATTCAGGACAATACCTTGTTGATGTAGTTGTATTCAGGGCTGTTTTATTTGCTCTAGCTAAAAAATTTAGAGAGATTTTTTTCACTGTTTTAAAGCAAAATTTACATGTGAAACCCATTGTTCTGCTTAGTGTCTTAGTGCTGAGGCAAAGCAGAACTAAAATGTATTAGAAATAGCACGCAGCTTAGCCCTCTTTTAAAAGAAATCAAGCTTGTGAGGAGCTGCTTAAATTAGGACTACTGCATGGAAGTATTTCTGGTTTTTTTTTCAGTGACAGTATAATTTTAAGAGAGATCCCTGTATCTTGAAATACCTTTATTTTGTATTGTGGGATGCTGTTCATACTCTGAATGCCTCCTTTTGCAACCCCAAATCATGAGCAAGATGATATCAAAAGCAGTGAAAAATAGTGGACAGCTCTCCTGGTATACTGACACTGCCAGTAGAAAATGTCAAAATTCACTTTCTTAAGATTTTTTTTAAGTTGTCTTCTTCCAATGGACTTTTTATAGAGTTAATCCTTTGTGGACCTGGCTACCACTTTCTCTGCTCAGCCTTTATTTGCATGTAGTCCAGATAGCTGTTGCATTTCAAGCCAAGGGGCTCTGAGCCATTAGGGCTCAGAGGTACGGTGCTTATTGGTCTGTATTTGTCTATTTACTTAACTCTGTGGATCTTTTCTGAGATAGCTAGAGTTAATCCTGATTTATGCAGAAAGAAACAGGCAAAGAAAAAACGGGTTAGGAAGTCATCTCCTTCTCAAAAGGGCTCTTTTAATTTCCTTGAGATTTTTATTTGGTAGTCAGACTGAATTTAAAAAGTAATCAGAATCAGTAGACTGAAGACACTTAAAACTTGCTCATATCCATGCCAGGGTATGCTTTTTATTATTATTATTATTATTATTATTATTATTATTATTATTATTGCCCTTTTAGGAGAAAACCAAACAGGAAGACTGCAAAAAACTGGGTGAAGATGAAGAAACAATTCCTCCAGAGTACAGATTAAGCGAAGCAAAAGTAATTAGTGTGTTGTATTAGTCTTGCTTGCTTACTTTCATTCTTCAGTATATATCGAGCTGAAGCTCCATTTCATTATTGAATGTTCTTTTTTACTTCAGGCATTTTTATACCGTTAAAAATTGGTTTATAGTTCCCGAGTATCTAACACCTTTCATTAGGTGCAGGTGTAGGTGCAGGTATCTACTCATAAATAATTTTGATTAAGATTAGTGAACTTGGAGTCTTTCATTAGCTTTCTGTGCTTGAGAAAAATTAACACATTGTAATTGCTTATCCCTACTGGAAAACACATAGGGTTGGTATATTTATAAGCATCGCCACATGACTTATTTGGCACAAGCAGGTGGCTTGGGTCTACCCAAGACCCATGCAACACCTGCCACAGCTGCCACTTGGAGAAGCTGCAGCCCTTCTGCACTCAGCATCTAGGAATACTGATATAAAGCTGGAAGTTGGGAATTTACATATAAAACATGCCAATTCTGTGGAAGTGGAAACAATAAATAGGGGAGCTCAGGATCCTATGTTTTGGATCCTGCTTTTCAGCACTCAGCTATATTTTTAAGGTACGGGACCTGTATTTGAGTATGACACTTTGCATAACAGCAGTAAATGCTCAAAGCGTAGTTTTATTCTGTGCATTTTCTCAAAATACTTGGTCTGCGTGGTCATTTAAGGACTTCTTAATGTAAGAGGCTTTGTCTTTTGTAGGATAAAGATGGAAAACCACTCTTGCCAAAACCTGAAGAAAAATCTCAGGTAAATAAGTAAATATCCAAATAACTGTTTTATCTGTTAATTACTTACTTAAACATTAGTAAGATTTCCTAGTATCTGCTTCTAAAATGGAGATATACCATGGAATTCTTGTCTTGTGACTGAACTAATACTTTTAATAGGTAAAAAGACTTTTATTTGTCTTTTTATTCAATGATAGCCTATGAGTGAAAAAGATCTTTTAGAGGGTTTGACAGAAGGATTTTCCTGTTCTCCAGCCCCTTCTGCACCATTGCCGACACCAGCAAAGGTGAGTACACTTGATTGTGGTCCTCTGTTCAATTTTCACATTATTTCAATGATCTTGTTTTTTTTCTCTTGCTTTCATTGGGGGCAGGAGGGAAGAGAAGTTACTTGTTCTATTCTTTTTTACCATTTGCTTGTATTATCGATGCTTAGTGGTCAAGATTTTGTGTTGTTTAGGAATATAGACAAGCTTGGAGAAATCTTAGTTCTTCCTAAATAATGTTTTTTCACTTGACTTCAACTAAGCTAGGGTTTGACCCTTTAGCTGAGACGAAAGATTGAACCTGAATAAGTTGAGAGACTGAATAATTGTGCAGTACTTCTCAGGAATGGGTTTATCTGAGCTAGACTGAGCTTCAAAGAAAAATAATAGCCTACAAATAAACTTTATGGCTTTACCTACATTTCATGTTCATGGGATTTAATAGGTGTTTCTTTCCTTTTGTGCTCCTTGCTACCAACAATGTTGTGTTTTGTTTCAGAAAAACAAGAAGGGTAAAAAATCAGCAGGTTCCTCTGCAGGTTCCTCTGAAGTTGTCTCTGCTGCTACAGTTTCTTCAGTGCACTCGGCAGCTCCTCCAACTTCTACTTCTGTAAGCAACACTTTCTTCTGGCCTTCGTCTCTCTGACCTGAGTAGGAAATAAAGGGAAATGGGAGGTATGATCAGACTGGTTTTACTAGTAGAGCGTGTTGTAAATTTAAATCATTTACTCTTAATATAGTCCATTGCAGGGGAAAAAAAAAACTTCCTCAGGGAAGAATTTGAGAATCTATGAGCATTTCATCCTCATGTTCAACTGCATATTAAGACTGCTTCATCTGTTTGTCTGAATGTCACTTACTGGTGTGTTTCAGTCTTCTTTGAAAAACCCATCACCTGGGGGAAGTGCCCATCTCTAAGTAGCTTCATTCCTCCAGAACTGCAGAGGACATGAGCACATTTGTGCGTCTCATTTCTATGAGTAGATGCAGACAGTATCTATCTGCAAATTATTTCATTGTTAGGCAGGTTGGCCTTTGGCCAAGCCACGCTGTTCTTTTTGTGGTTAGCTGGTGACAGTGTTTCAAGTCATGCTAGCATAGGTGTTGGTGTTGTGGCAACGTCATCTTTGAAACTCTTAAAAAAATGAGCTTAAGGTTAATGATGGGAAAGGCAGCTCTATGACCTCCTTTTTAATACCAAGGAAGTCTTTCCTCAATTTCTTTAAACACTAGTGTTGCAGGTGACTTTTTTCCTTGATTTGTACAATGAGAGCTCCCTCTGGTGTTTTCAATCTGAGAAGTGACTACAAGGAAATCCTGTCTCTGGGTTTCATTCATTTATTTTCTTTTTTTTCCTTCTCTAAAAATTGTTTGCATAAAATTTGCATGAATCAACAGAAGACCATACATATTGAAGATAAAATATTTTAATTCAGTTTTAATTCAGTCAAACTTCTTACATTTAAAACCATTTAAAATTAATTTCAAACTTAAAAGTTTGAATTCAGACTGACACTTGCTTAACTGATAATGATTTTTGCAAAATGAATATGTGAATTAATATAAATATAGTCATCTACAAGGTGAATATACAAGTCATCCACAACTGTTTCATTGTATCAGTGCGACTTACATGTCAAAAGCATGTAACAAAGGCATTAAAATCAACTCTATAAGCCCTTCTTTAAATTATATGTTTACTAGGTTTAAGTGGCCTGTAATTTTTTTTCCAACTATTAGCAGCGCTGTACAATTACAAAGCCAGACTTGATTGTTCACTGTTTGCTGAAGTTAGCAGTTCATTAGTCAGTATTTATTCTAGGTGATGAACTAAATTATTTTTACAGCTGATTGTCTTTTGCAAATATGTTTATACTCTGCTAGGGAGGAAAAGAGATGGATGAAGCTTTAGATCTCCTGTCTGATTCCTTGGGACAAAGAGAACCTGATCCTGCTGAGAACAAACCGGTTGTGGATAAAGTTAAGGTAATAAAAGATGTTCTGAAATTTGTGCTGGAAGTGTGAACTGAGGTAGTTACTTTATTTATTTATTTATAAGGATTTCTTTTTCTTTGAGTAGCATGTCACAGTATACCACAGTACTTCTTGTACAAGTACGTGGCAGCTAATTTTCAGATGCAGGATTAAGATAACTAGAAAAAAACCCCAACTAATTATTTTACCTTATGTAGCCATATTAATCAATTCTCTGATTAATTCTGAGAACTGATAGCATGGAAGAGTCTGAATTTTTTTCAAGGTTTTTTGCTTCTCTGCATACAGTCTTGAATCAGCGGGACTGTGTGGGTTTTATGAATAATTAGTATATCTCAGACCTTTTGAGGTGATGATGGAAATGTTGGGAGAAATTTGCAGTAATTTCACATCAGTGTCTTTTACTATCACTATTCTAAATGTTTTTCAAGTTGCTTGCCATGTTTCCAAGATGAATTTTATGGCCTTTTTATCAAGCTTAGTTGAATTTTATAACCTCACAAATATCAAGTTTGTCAAGGGATGTGTTATTTCAGTTCTGTTTTTTCCTTATTCATTCTTGATTTTTTTTTAAATTTTAATCTTTCTACTTAACATTATATAAATGCCTTAATTTAAAGCATTCCATTAATACTGAAGGCTGACTATAGCAATAATGTATGCTTTACTGAAAAACGTGGAAAAATTCTGCTAGTCTCAAATCTCAGAGAAAATTGAATGCATCCCTGCATAGTAGCAGTAATGCACTGTAGACTGAAGTACATAATTTGAATGACATTGTTGAGGGGGGAAAAAAAGACTGTAAGCTGCCCATAATTACATTTAGGCTAGGAACTAAAAGGACTTTTTATTCTAATCTCAAGCCAGATTTATAGTGCAGAGGTATTTTGTGAAAACATTTATATGGTTACAGAGTGGTTGCTTGACACTGCCTTATAGCACAGGCAGACAGAATCACAGCTAAGACATCATAAGAAAATGGAATCTGTGTTCAAGGTGCTGCAGTGCAGGGATGAGGTTCACCATGGAAGCACAGAGTAAGGTTTTTCAGTCATATCACTGAAAAGCAGAACTGACAGCTGACATAACCCTTTTTGTTATGTTGTGCTGTTGCTGTGTATATGTATATATACATTTGGCTTGTCAATGGTTGCATATATCTAATAACTAGTAATTTAGAAAAGTAATGCACTCTTCCTGGTGGAATGGTTATTTCCAGTAAATCTGACATCTTGGTTTCAAAAAATGTTGCTGTCCTCATGTGTTCTTTTGTGCTAATTGTCAAATACGGATATCATACATAATAGAGAAGAGCAGCCTGTAACTACTGCAGTTGTTTATTAGTATCTTATAGCTGTTAAATACTTTCAGGAAAAGGCTAAGTCTGAGCACAGAGACAAACTTGGAGAAAGAGATGATACTATCCCACCAGACTCTCGGAAACTTCTGGAGTCGGGCGAACAAGTAAGCCAAAGCTTTGTTATTTTTTTATTTAGCTCTCTGATTGCAGTTCTGGAAGTTTGTATGTAGGAGCCAATCTTGCTATCCCTAGAATCCAGGGGAGAACAGTGTTGCTGAGTAAATATTTACAAATTAGGATTGAGCATATGAGTTTAGAACAGTTCTTCAGGATGCTGTATATGATTTAGGCAAAGAGGAAAAAAAAAGACAAAAAGCAACGATTTTAGATTTGGATTCCTTTTTTCTTCTGATTTGGATAGTCTGAATAAGTAAACACTTTGAACCAACCAAACACAGTTGGCAGAAGCTGGAGTTTGAGCAGTAGACGTTCCAGTTAAAGAGGCAGAGTGGTTTAGGTGCTCAGGAAAACCAGGTAAACAAATAAGGAGAGCACTTCAAAAGTCTGGCATTACAGTGAACAGGATATTTTTCACACTGTGGATAATGATGCTTATTCAAAATAGCTTTACATTTGGGGTAGGGAACTGTATAGGGATTATCTTTATGAAGTACTTACAGCTGTTTACTGTCATTCACTGTAATGAGTCACTGACAGTCACTTAATCTTGTCCGTCGTGAAACTATATGAAGCTAAGGCACAAAAGTATTTTTCCAGGAGGAGTATGATTATCAAGATAGATCAGTGGCTTCGAGATAGTTACATAGGAAATAGAAATAAATTAGTCTAGAAACTAATTAGTTCAGGTTATGTGTTCTGTTTTGTTCTTTTTGTTTGTTTGTTTGTTTGTTTTTGTGTGTGCGTGTGTGCTTCTGTGATCTGAATGGCTAAAAAAGAGGATAAAATCTTTCTTCTTTTCAAGGATAAACCAGGAAAGACAGGAAAACCAGCAAAGAATGGTGGGAAATCCAAGGAAAAAAAGGTAAAACTCATGATATTCTTGTGCTGTATTTGTTCCATCCTGTGGACTCAAGGCATGATTTACTGCAAATTCTCACAAATATTGCTGAATGTAGTGAGTAACTGTAGCAGTGTGGATAGTAAGATTTTTCTTAAGGCTAATGCTTCATAGTAAGTGTAGATTTTGGTGAATAACATACTACAATCCAACTGTTGAGATCCAAGAATTAAGATCCGGTATCCAAAGCTTCTGTAGTTTGGAAACATTAAATAGATACTTCTGTTTTAACGTATTTGTAGAACTACGAAATGTTTTGTTAAGAAAAGGATGATTAAAACAGACTTAAATTCCTGAAAAACATAATTGGCTGTCAGGAAGCACTGCATGTTGTATGACTGAGAATCATAATTTTTGCAGAAACCTGCAGATGACTCTGCAGCCATTGATGCTCTATCAGGTGACTTTGATACCTGTGCAAAGACTCCTGCCACACCACAGCCCTCAAAGGTAGGACATTTTCTGCCATCTTCCAAAATATAATGTATACATATGTATTTATTAATTTATTCACTAATTCATGAATGTTCTTTACATTTCTTTACAATTTATGTTTAAAGGTGGCCTCTTTGGAAGATACTGTTAAGATGTAATGGTTGTCTTAATGAAAGGTTGAATTTTCTTCTTAGGTATTAAATATTTGGGGATAGGGAGGTTTGAGGTAATTAGCATCTTCTGGAGAGATAAGACTGGCTAGAAGATGTGATTTGAGTAGAGAATTCTGAAAGAAAACAAAACAAACAAACAAAAAATCTTGAAACTACAATTCAGATTGGCTGCCTTTCCCAGGAGGAAATGACTCCATCCCTAAATAGCTCTCTTGACCACTGCAGAGCAGTAGAAATTTGCATTTTCATACCTCGAAAAATATAGCTTCAGTACTTTCTGGTCAGTAGCAACTCAGGCCTTTTCTTGGTATGCCCTTTTATTCATAAACAATAAGGTTACTACAAATGCTGAATGGTTCCCACATGAAAATGTTTGAGAACTGAAGAAAGCTACTTTTCTGATTCACATTCACTCACACAGTGCAATCTGTTGATCTTCCCCTCTTTCTCTCAAGAAGAGTTGCTTGGTGTATATATGTATATTTGTATATTTTGAATTTCTGCTGAGTCTCCTAGTAGTTGCTGGCATCCTGGCATATTTGAATCACTACTTTCTCAACGCTATGCATAGGAACATATGGTAACTTCTTATCCGGAAGCAAAACTGTAATTCTGCGTGGTTCATGTTGGAGGAGATACCATCTGCTCTCAGTGATGGCTTACCTACACAGCTGATCCTGAGATGGCTCATTTGAAACATAGTTTTTAAGTACAGTAGAGGGTAATTTATTTGGTTGTGAATTTAGGAGCAAGATCTTCTGATGGGATATTATTGCTTTGCACTAAATGCAAAATCTGACCAAATATATGAACTATACTATTTTTGTTTGCTTCTGATACCTTGATCTTCCTAGTATTTTATTTCTGGAAGGCTCAAGGTTCTAGCATCCTTTGGATTAAGAAAATAATTATATGTGCAATTGAACTCTGCCATCTTAAAATCTACATCAAAAATCATTGGTTGCGGCAGGTCAGTGATCTGTTTGTAACAGTAATTATTTTGTTCCTTGGAGTGTAGAACAAAAGCGGAAAAAACACCACCACCACTAAGCCAACCCCAAAGGAAGAAAGAAAATCCAAAGATCCTAAAAAGGTAGGTTTTCTTTACCAGAGAGCAAGTCAGGGTTCTTTATCCCAAATTTTTATCAGGATTTAATTTTTAAAATGAATAAAAGCCTACACATATTCCTAAATAACTATGCAAGATGAATCTAGTAGAAAAGGAAGGTGGGTAATTTCTATTAAAAAATGTGCTTGCCTTTCTCCTTTCTGATCAGAAATGGGTTTTGGTAAAAATGCATTTAGAAAAAAGTGTCTCCCATCAGGTTGTTCTCTAGCTATCCAGTGAGATAGATATCTGGATCAATTGATAACATATCTGCTCTAGAAATTGCATTTAAGTTAGTAGAGGATAGAAGTTTTTTTTTTCTATATAAAACTGCTGCCAGTTGCTTTTGTGTAACAACAGAGCCGTTACTGGGCTTTGAAGATAAAACTGAGAGGGCTTTAACTCCTATTTAGAAGGATATGTGGCTTATTTTTTTTTCTTAATTTTTTTTTCAGTTGTTATTTAGTTCTGAGTGGTGATTGTGGATCGGAGTTGCAGCATAGGATAGGTGATAGGAGATCTAGGGTATGAAAAGGTCAACCACAACCTTTAAATAAAACAAGCAATGGAGGAAAAATGAAGATAAATATACACGAAAGTATGCAAATGCTCTTGCTGAATTATCAGTATTTTTCTCATGGACATCACATTTACATTTGAACTGTGACCTTATATGAGTATCTATCACTTTTTTGTTTCAGATTTTAGTCAGGAACTAGGAACTAAGCTATCTCACGTATCTTTTTCTCTTTAGGCAAGGGAACAGTCCTCCGGCAGCAAATCTGAGAAGCAGAAAACAAGCTAAACGCTAACATTACTGGGTGAGAGTTCTTGTCTGTTCTCTGAACTACTATAAAGACAGTTTACGTAAGTGTTATGAAGGTTAAGTCTCGGGGACACTCCTTACTGTGAGAGGACTCCTTACTCCTAACTGTGAGAGGGCTCACAGTTAGAGGAAAATACTTGGAAAGATTTTGAACTTCATTTTGGAGAATCCTAAGCAGAAAGAGGCCTTCTAGTTCTCTGTGTTTGTCCCCACAGTCATTGAAGGGTTGCTTCCTTTAGCTAAATATCCGTCACTTTATATAACTTGAAGTATTCCAAGGTTTGACACTCCTACTGTTTCCTCAGATGTTTTTATACAGAATAAATAAAACTAAGCTTATTCCGACTGATTATTTTTGTCTGTGGAACAGTGACCTCATCCCATTACTTCTCTGCCAGGCTAGTTTTGAAATATCTGTTCTGGACACACACAAATATAGCTAGGCTGATAAAGAAGAGCAGGTTTTAGTGTTTTGATCTTGGATTAAATACGGTGCTGTTCTGTACATTTGTTGCACTATTACTGTATATATCTTTATATTTAGCTTGATCCCATGGTTAATACAAGTGTAGGTAATCACAGTCTCTCATACTCACCACTTCTGGAACTCATAGCAAACTGTGTATTACTGTAGTATAACTTTTGAACAAGACCTAATGACTTTTGGTATTACCTCTTCTGGGATTTCTTTCTCTCCCTGAACATGTTTCTGACTATTCTTCTGACATCTATTTGGTAATTTTTTCCAAGCTAATGTCTTTTACGCTTATCTTCTTTCACTTAATATTTCTTTCCTGTTTTTTTGTTTGTTTGTTTATGTTTTTCTCTTTCAGGATCTTGGCAAATGATATACAAAGTCTTCTTTCTGCTGCTGAATAGTTATTCCTGAAGAACAAATGCTGATGCAAAAAGCATGTGGTTATTTTGGGTGTTTTTTTGTACAGTGGTATTTGCTGGAGGCTTTTCATATTTTCTTTTAAAATATTTTCTTTTTCTAGCCATTCATTTTATTGTACTGCTGCATTTTGAATTTTTGTAGTTTTCTACAGAAGTAGAAAACTTACTGTTAAATTGCTTTTTTTCAGTTCGGAGATATGGGGAAAGCATGCTTTATATTTGTAAGAAATATATTTCATAAATTAATAGCAATGCCAAAAGAGAAAAAAATGCAAACTTTTGCACATAAACTTCACATAGTGCCTGTAAATCTCAGAAAAGTTTCTAAGTATGCGCTAGCATTTTTAACTTTGCAGTGAAATGCATTGGGGATCTTGGAACATAATAAGCTTTGGTTGTCCTCAGCCTGGCTGTTGGCTGCGCTTCCTCAAGGCAGCTGCTGGTAAGAAACCATAGATCAGCTGTGGACATCTAAAGAATGAGAAACTGGTGACTAAATGCTTCAACAACATCTAATGGAAAAGATACATTTTGGATTATGCCTTAACTATGGTTAGAACGACGACTCCAAAACCACTAGGAAAGGAGGAGTCTTGCTTGTTTACTTCAAATTGCAACTGTGCTCTTATCTCGTATTTCCAGGCGGCTCAGGACTTCATCCAAATACAAATCATCATGTACTATAGACCATTATTATCATGGAAGAGGGGAGAAAACGAAGGTACAGGAGCCTTAACAGAGGTTCAGGAGAAACTCAGAGAAGGTTTTTGCACTGTTCCCGCACGTGGCCAGTGTTCCTGCTGCACTAGCAGCAGAACATGAAGCCGCTCCATAGGGGCGCAGGCACCAAAGGCTGCTGCAGGTGGACCGGCCTGTAGCACCTCGGTGTGCTGAGGGCCTCACTTGGTTTCCCTCTGTCTGAATTACCTGTAAAATACGTGTTTGCACATCCTTACGCACGTATGCTACTTCACCAGTTGTTTACAGAGGAGGGTAATGTTAGGGACAGTGTCTGTAAGGATATCAAAATCTTGACTCTAGTATCTAGTGCTCCAGACAGAGACAGCCCAAAGATTTTAGGATGGAATCAGAATTTCTACTGTTCTTAATGGTCTGTATTGAGAACCTGTGTCACACTAATAAAGTTTTTAGAATGTATTATGTTTGTCGTTTCTTTCAGCTTCTTCATTGTCTAAATAGCCCCATAAAAGGCAAAATAAGAACATCCATGCTCAGGAAAATTTAAAAAATAAGCATTAACATGTTAATAGTGAACAAAGCTTTTTAAAAAATCAACAAAATGTGTCATCAAGGCTCCCTGTAGCCCCTCATAATCGAGTTAAGATCTAGCTCCTGCTTTCTTTTCCCTCCACTCTGCTTTTCAAGCTTAAACATCCCATTCTGTAGCAGCAGGCTTGCCCTCAGACACAAAGCAGCTGAAAGCCTAAACTAAATGATGGCACAAGAGTTTTCAGAAACAGAATGAAATTATTTATTGTGAGAAGTTCCAAACAGACACTGTTAAAACACAATGACATAATGTATACAAATGATAAACAATGAGTCTTAAGGGATTGAAGAAACATATTATTTTGATGGAGTTAATGAACCCTGCTAGTAACTCTTAGAATTTTCTAAGTATACGAAAAGTCATCTGATTCTGTTTTTCTAAATCAGTGTTCTTCATGGTAATCCAAGTTCTAAAAGGTTTATTAATGTCAGCTCATGCAATTCACTCAGTGACCATTAGCAAGGAAAAGTGACAAAGCCCCTATCGTTATTCTGGAGAGGGTGCTGCAGGGACTCTGTTTATTTGCTGGATAATCAATGCGGCTTTTAATTAAAAAAAAAAAAAAAGAAAGGAAAAAAAAGAGGAGAGAAAAAAGGGGTTAGGGAATTGCAGGGAGTGTTGTATGGGTGAGGGCCCTGCAGCAATTTTTTACAAAGAAAGATGAGCAGCTGGAAAAATTACAACTGAAAATGAAGCAATTAATGTAGGAAAATGAAATGTATATGATGGATAATAATAGCAGCAGAAAAGAATGAGCAAAGGGTAAAAGTGATACACAAAAATAATTTGTCTAGAAGGGTGAACGAGTATGTTCTTTTAAATTGCTTTTTTTCCCGTTCACTCTGAAAACATTACAAGGAGTGCAGCAATACCTAAAATACTAGGTTCTCAGCTCTTCCTCTTTGTTATCAATTAAACAAAGACTCAATTATCTCTTAAATTTAACTCCATTCCCAGCCCTCCCCCCCAAAAAAATTTTGCTTTAGGTGTGCACCTAGCTCTTCTTGTAGGTGAGTAGCTCAGTGAGTTTCCACTGGCATTATAATTCAAGAATTAGTCAAGAATTCAGCTGTATTGAAATCAGAAAATAAAACTTGTAGAACAATTTGAATGTTTACCATAATAAGGGCATAAGTGATTATATATGTGAGGCACAGAATCCCTTAATGAATTTTGAAATACGAGCTTCTTCCCATGCACAAGAATGATGCAGCAACTTGAAGTAAAATTATCTACAGTTCTGTGACAGAAGTTTAGGCTGTCCTTAGCAGATGTCAAAAGGCTTTCTGAGCTCTAACAAAACAGGTCTTCAACATCCTGTGCAGGTAGCGTTGTCTGGCTGTGAGGCAAAGGACAAGGCGCTGGCAAAAGCTGGCACACATGATAGTTACTTGGTATTTTCTTTAATAGTTATTAGTTACAGTAAATTCTATAATTTCAGTGATCAGAGAAGGTCACTTACAGCTTGCTTAAGAGGAAAAGAGGAAAAAAAAAAACTGTACAGCTCAGCTTTCTGAAGTATCTTTTGGGGGCAAAACAGTCATCATTTCTCTGCTTACAGGAATGAGCTACAGGTTACTGATCATTCTGAATTCTAGCTAAAACTGCTTGTTAACCAAAAATGAGTGCTTTTAAAAAATTCCACACAAATTGCACTAATTTCCTGAAACTTAACATAAAAACATCATGGAATTTTTCCCTCTATCAAGACTGCAGGCGAGGTAGTGCCAGCAGCAGCATCTCTGCAGCTGCACCGGAGCAGGCTGGGGTGAGGGCAGGTGAAGGCCGCAGCAGCAGGTCTGCAGCACTATGGCGGAGATCGAGCTGGTACCAGCTGCCTCCACACCTGAAACACTAAAAGAAAGCTTGCATACTTACTATACTTACCCTTACCATACTTATTTTGAAGTATTCAGTGATAACTAGAATTGATACTGATTTTCTAATTCTGGCATGCTGGAGTTGTTTTTTAAAATTAGTCTCCTGCAACACAGACTGCAAGGATAAAGGCCCAGGGAAAGCAAGAATTTCTTTGCTCCGTAATTTCAATTTATTTAAGTAAGTATTAGGTAAAGCAACTAGCTAGACCTTTGTGGAAAAGACAGAGGAAGGATAGGCATTCACAGGTGAAAAGTTTCACCTTGTTATTTTTTCTGTAAATAGTTTCTGTTCTTTCGGAATAAATAAATTGATCTCAGATTTCCAGTAATCGGTTCCCCATCCCCATTAACTTAGAGGACAATGAACAAGTTGCTTTTTTCCTAAAACTGCTACATGGTAAAGTGATCACAAGCAGTCTAGATTTATTTCAGTGCTGTGGATTGCTTGGAATATACAATTACTGAGCATCAGGATTAGACTCCCTTGAAACTCCTAAAGAAACAAGTTTAGCTCTCTCTCCACCCCTGAGTTTTCAGTGCTTTTTCAGCTATTTTTGGCAAATGTAAATAATGTTTTATAGCTTTTTATTTTGCAGCCATGTTTTGAGTTCCTCGAAATTTCTATCCATCCACTGTATGTTGTCTTCAATGGTTTCAATAGCTTGTTGGACACAACGAAGCTGTGAACTTTTTTTGTCCAGAGAGTCAAAGAATTCTTTCACCTGTTGAATAAAAAGGTGAAAGAACATTTGATGAAAAGGCAATGGGGGTCAATTCATGCAGAGGAAGAGCAGCAGGAAATTTAAAATTTTGAACCAACTCTTCACTTGCTTGGGTGACTGATTCTTTCTGCCCCTCTTCTAACTGCCTTGGGAAGGTTTTTTTTTTTTTAAATTTCCCTTGATTCCACAGCTAAAGAAAATATAACATTTAAAATGTAATCTGATATATTTATCACTGCCCTTCAGCTTTTCTGTCCATGTTCAGAAGAAATATTTTTTTAAATAATTTTCAGCATGTTTTCTCATTACTTTGCAAAAGTGGGTAGCAAATATTAACAGCAACAACTGTAATAATTAGCGTGATCATTCTGACAGACACATTGGGACTGTTTTTAGTCCACTGCTTAAACAAAAGCCATCTTTCCCCTTAACATGGACGCCACTCTGCCCTAAATAATTCAACCCACCACTGCTGTCATCTTTGCCAAGGAAAGGGCAGGCTAGTATCTTGGTATTTCAACACTGATCATGTTTTAGGATGGTAAAATTCAATTCAAGGTTCTGTTTCAGTTAAACTACAACTCTTTTAAAAAAAGCCAGAGCAGCTAATCTAAGGACTCACCTCTGTGAGCTGCGACCTCATAGAATACTGATTTGTCACTTCACTGACAATGGTGGCTAAGGATTGTGAACCAAGTTCAAACCTGGCAAGAAGAATCACCCATACTTAGAAAATGCACAGTTTTGTTGCAGCATGAGTTCAGAAGTACTTCAGGGGTAGAGAGAGCAGTAGAACAACTTTGTGCCTTACTTTTCAACAAGATTTTCCCATTTGTTCTTTAGAAATGTCCAAGCTAGATGATAGCCAGATGGGTTTCTGGCAACAAACGCAATAATATAGGGAAGATCCTGTGTTTTTATTATGTCACCACGCAGACCTTGATCCATTAACCTAAGAATTAATAACAGAAGCGGGCATTATTTACACCCATAGATAACACTGACAAGAGACTGTGCTCCTAGTATTTTCTGCAGTCATATGAATCTGCATTTCTAAAGGCCGTGGCACACCATTTTAGTTGTGTTAGTTACTTCAACATTTTACAATATCCATCTTGGCCACACCCATAAATCCCATTTATTATGTCCACAATTACAGTTGTTTAGTAGAGATGAAGGTAAGGGATCTGAATAGCTAGTTTATTTCATCCTGTCTACATTTGCTACTGCAAAGGGCAAGCACAGTGGCTTCTGGCACCAAAAACCAGAAATGAAAGCCTGAGGCTACTTCCTCTTCCTTTACCAACTCTGTAAAGCATTTTACCAATCCTGAAACTCAAAAGCTGTTAAACAAGACAGCTAGTAATTGCACATCTTTCTCCAAACACATTTCTGTTCAGAAGTAGTATGCTACTCACCACTGGAGTTTGCTGTTATTCCTGCTACGGCTGAGCGCCAAAGCAATTTGATTTTTGTCCAGGTTGAATGAATGCAGCCTGTATTTACTAAGGAGGAAATCCCAGCCTTCAGGTGTTTGTGCTCCAACAGTGTACACAGCTGTCTTCACATCTGTTGGCAAGCTACAACAAAGTAGTACAACAAAGTGAGTACCAAGTCACTCTCCATATCATATTTAAGAGTGTATTTAAGAGTATTTAGGTAGAAACATAACCATGTCACTGCAAATTGGCATAACAGACTATTCCTTAGGAAATGCTCACCCAATAACTACAGACTATTAGAAAGTGAGCCCTGTTGCTGAGAAATAACAGTGTCCCTCGGTCAGCATCTCAGTAACTTGCAACCAACTTCCAAAAATACTGGGCTCATTATTCGTTTTATTTCTTCATTAATTTTGTGTATTTTTTCAATGGCTATCTTTTAGCACATCCATTCAGATACTAATGCGGTTGTCTCTGGCCTTCCCAGAAGAGCTCACAGACCTTGTGTAGTATGTTTTAAGGAGTTCCTGTGAGATAAAAATTAAGGGAAATCCACAAACAGTAATTGACATATTTATACAACAGGCGTAGGGCAATCCTCATGCATATAAATGAGGGAATATAGTTAGGTGTTGTTTTCTCTTTCCAGAACATCTTTAACAAACCAATTTGTGGAGTAACACATGATGTGTGCTAGCTTGGGGCATGTAACGTATGTCAAACTGGGGAGGAATTTGGAAGTTGAAGCCCATCAGACACACTCTAAAGACTAATTCTGGACTGCAGAAAAATCTGAGATTTAGCTCATTCAGTAAATTAACTGTAGTATCACTACATAGAATATCAGAAAGGATGGTATTCGTTACAATACAGACCTCAAAGTTGCATTGGACTTCTGCCATTTCACAAAATACTCTTGCGCTTTGTCCACACAGGGCTGGTAGCCGCGCACGCAGGCGAAGAGCAGGAGTGAGTGCTTGAGCATTCTCTCTGGCACCGAGCCGTCATCGTTCCAAGACTGCTTGTCAATTAGGTCTTTGAACAGATTGACTATATACTCCTAAAAACAGTGCAGTAATAAAGATCTATTTCAAAGTGGGCTTTACAGGATAGAGGCAGAGAGGTCTAGACACTTAACATCTTACCTTTAACTGATTTGCTGTGTCATCCATGTCCCTCCTCTCCATAAGCTTGTATATGGGAATCAATTCCTGCATACCTTGGAATACAGGCATGATTTCTGTCTCATGTTTCAGGTATAAAGTTAAATCAAAAGCTTTGGAAATTGGCAACTTTTTTATTCTAAAGAAGATGAGAGAAGATAAAAAAGTACTAGTTAAAGCTAGTTAAACTGAACATTGGAATTAAAGTGTTAGAAGTAAATTAACATGTTAGAATTAAAAAGAACTAAATTAACATGCTAAATGTTAAGTTTCACAGAGAACCTTGCTTGAAACCCCACCTCTTTTCAAAAACAAGAGCCCAGATAGTGAGATTGTCACCTGGGTCTATTTCATTTAATAGAATTGAATAACTCCACTGCAATCAAAGAGTAATTCTGAGTATACATTGCTGAAAGTGAGAAAAGAAAATGCTCTCAGTTTTCATAAAAGATTTAATGAATAATATACACTATCAACATATCCTGCTTCAGTGATACATATTGAGAAATGCGGAGATTGTATTTTTTTCAGACTTAAGTTCTTACCTCACAAGCTGGAAGATATTGTTAATGAGACTTGCTCTGTCATTGCTGCTAATCACCATATGGTTCTCTTTCAAAAGGTTAATCAGACGATCCCATCCATCATCTTCATAGTGCACAATGTAATACCCATTCATGCCAACATTGAATTTAATCCATTCTACTTCTTCTGGAAGAATGAAGACATCTACCAACAAACAAAAGAACTCTCTTTATGTGCAATCCAAACATAATGCAGTGTAAAAGCAATTCTTACTCTCATTCCAGGGATTTAAAGAAAACCATAACACAATTTCTGATTATATTAGGAGGTTCTTGATGCTGTTGACATACTGATAACAAAAGAAAGTGCTTCTCTTGCCCGAGCATTTCCAGTTCCCCATTCTGCAAAACACTCTGTGGACTTGCAAATAAACTCTGAATAAATTAATCACTGTAAAAGGCAATTACCTGTTTTAGTTGTCATCAGAAATCTTTGAACTATGTCAGATTTACTGGTAATGTAGGTTAGTGGAATGTGCCACAAGTACCTATTGCAAAAAAGAAGAGCTTTGTTTTACAATGGAACTTCACAAAACCTTCTTCAACTTGCATTAGTCTAAAAGGTGAGGAATGCCTTTTCCTGCAGCACAAAAACAATGAGATGCCTCCCTCATTCCAGTGCAGACCCAAATACATCTGTTTATTTTAGCTTGCTCTCCTATTTTGCTTACTCTGTGGACGAAGGAGAATCCACTCCCTTCCTGTAGCGCTCCTGCTGCAGATGGACATTCTTTCCTCTCACTGTGACAGTTACCAGTGGAAAACCTTTCTGCAGTGTCCAAGTGTTCATCATTGCCCTCACATCAACAGCCTCTCTTTTGGTCCAGTGCTGTGTTTTAGCATGGGAAAAAAAAGATACCCAAGAAGAACAGGAAGATGAAGCACAGTGACAACGGAACAGAAATGACCACCTAAGAACTTCAGAAGAGTTTCTGGGTATTTGTAAATTTACAGAGGTACGTTGAGACTAGAACATAAGAAATTACACTGTTTTTGATTTTGTCTTCTTGCAGACAATTTCATACAATTATCGCAGCACTTGAAGTGCTGAAGTGATCAGGAATGCTTTTGGAGGGTGCATATAGCAGTGTAACAGAAAAGAGTCACAACATAGACAACAGACACTTACTCCATTTGAAAATGACTCTTGGTTTCTTCTGCAAAAGTTATCACCTTGTAATATGCTTTCATCGGTATCTACAGTAGGGCAAATCTGAAAAAAAAGTCTTGCTCATCTCTATAATTTTATAAGTACAAATCACCAGGACTGGTCACAGTCTTCAGCAGTATTTTAACAGAAATATTACTACCCCTGAGAAGTTACAAACTTTGAATATACGAGAATGAAAAATACTTGCCTTTGTCATGCTGTTCCACAAATCTTCATTTTTTGCATTTTTATAGCTGTATCTCTGCAGATACTGCTTGAGTCCAGCTTTAAACACATCAGCAGTCATGTAGTCCCTCAGCATATTTAATATACAAGATCCCTGAAAAAAAATCACAAAGTATTTAGAAAAATACTCTTTAGATGGCAAGATAAGTCTTTCAAAAATTTTAAATGCCACTGAGGCACGTAACAGTTCACTTTTATATGGCTCTGTGACTAAAGAATAATTAATTTAGTCATATATATAAAAACAGTAATTTGAATTTCATGATTATTATTCTTTAAAATAACTCTGTTTAAGTATCTATTGTTATTTTTTGAGCTTTGTTACTAAGCATACCAGCTTGTACAGCTAAGGCACCATATAACGCTCCCATGAAATATGCTGCTTGGTTGAAGCACCTTGAACAACAGTTTAAGGCTAGATTGATACAGAGAAGATAAAAGCAACAAAAGGATCCTAATTTACAAATGGAAAAGTAAACCAAAACTCAATCTCCATGCAGAAGTTTTGTGCAAAGAATTATGCAAGTCATAAAAGCAGGATATCAATGCAATGCATCAGAGATGTTTTTTATCTAGGCCTGTGGTGAAGTGAATATGATGCAATGGCATAGAATCATAGAATCATAGAATCATAGAATGCTTAGGGTTGGAAGGGACCTCTAGAGATCATCTAGTCCAACCCCCCTGCACACGCAGGGTCACCTAGAGCACGTGGCGCAGGACTGCGTCCAAGCGGGTTTTGAAGATCTCCAGAGAAGGAGACTCCACAACCTCTCTGGGCAGCCTGTTCCAGTGCACTGTCACCCTCACTGGTAAGAAATTTTTCCTTAAGTTCCTATGGAATTTTTGATGTTTCAGTTTCCGGCCATTTCCTCTAGTCCTATCAGTGGCCACCACTAAAAAGAGACCATCCCCGTCCTCTGCACTCCCTCCCTTGAGGTACTTATAGACACTGATCAGGTCCCCTCTCAGCCTTCTCTTCTCCAGGCTGAACAGGCCCAGCTCCCTCAGCCTCTCCTCATAGGGCAGATGTTCCAGGCC